TTCCCTATTTTCCACTGCAGGATGTTTTGCTCAACTTCAGCTAAAAACCTTGGAATTTGGGAATTATGAACAGGAATTGGTGGCGGAAACCAAGGGATCCACACAGCAGCCATGGGGTGGGGATGGCCCAGAGCTGCTGAGCTCTTCTCCTGTAGATTTGTGCCACTTTAATGTTGCAGAATTTGATATTTCCACAGCAGAAACAGCAATCTGGGCACCAAAGGACAGAAATGAAGAAAATTTCAAAATCAACGAGGAGCTCCTTGTTTGCAGTGAGTGAAATGCATTGGCTAATTATGAAGCAGGATAAACAAGTAAACAAATGAGAGAGGCCACTCAGGGGATTTGGGGAAAGGAGCCCTTTCCCCTTTTTTTCCCATTAACTCCCTATTTCCATTTCTCTCTCGTTAATATTAAGCTTGGCACTCCATTATAGGCTCTAATTAGCTCCAGATTTTGGCCTCCAGTTCGTTTTTGCACCATAATTAATGCAACAGTAATAAGAGCCCCAAATCTGATAATGAGGAGAGCACTTGGAAGTGCTCAGACACAGCAGAAACCCAGAGCAGCCCATTAAGAGCAGCTCCCAAGCACCCCAGATGGGATGGCTCAGAGTGGGTTTAAGTGTTTCAATTAATGAAACACAAGCAGGATCAATTAATAATGTTCAAATGGAAGATAATGATTATGATTATTTTTTTTTAAGGAGGCATAATTAAATCTTTTTCACCACTGGCATAATTAAATCTTTTATCTGCTGGGGAAAAAAATAAAAATTTACATTTGTTAAAGCTGTGGAGTGAAAGAGTGGCAAAACTTGGAGCTGTTCAGTGGAGTTTGTCAGGTTTCAAATGTGCCACAGTGGGAGAATCCCAAAATCTCAGGGTGGAAAAGCCCTCCCAGCCCATGGAGTCCCATCCCAGCCCAGAGCTCTGAGTGCCACCTCAGGGATGGGGATCCAAACCTCCCTTCCCATATTTACCAACCCTCTCCCTCTGGGAATGAGTGGCTTTTCTCCACTGAAATACCCAGTGGAAAATGGAATTACAGGCGTTGAAATCTGGCAAAAGATTCCCCTCCTTCCCCACTTCGTGTGTGAACAGCAGAGCTTCTTTTTTAGGTGTCAAAAGCAGATTTTCTCTGCAGCATCATGTGTTTGATAACAAAAGGCTGGCATGTGCACATTGTCCCTGTCACTCCTTTGGTTCCTTTCTCAGGAGCAAATGCCACCAACTCCCTCAGAGCAGCTGGGTCTCCCTCCCACCCTCCAGGCTGAGGGGACAGTTCTGCACCCCAGGGAATGGCTCACCCAGCCCTCCCTGCCTTTTATCCATGCCAAATCCACACTTTTGTGTCCTGGGAACTTCTGTGCAGCTTCAAAGTGTTGCTGGGTAGCTGTGCTTACCTTAAGGTACCTAATTTAAGGGCTGAAAATTACATTTTCTTGTAATGGAGTAATGGCGTAAAAATTCAATAACAAAATGCCAGTTAAATAATAGTAAGTTTAAAGCCTATTAAATTCAATAAGAAAAAACAATTTAAAATTAATAAGAAATAAACTTGTGATGCCTTTAACATCTCAACTAGGACCTGTTGTAGGTTAAGCTCAGTAAATCTTATTTATCAATCTTATCACAACTTTAAGTTTATTTGGCTGCCTTTCCTCAGGTCTCCATCCTGCTGAGAGAGCAAACACCAGGTTCCACTGTGTTGTGCTCAGTATGAGTTCCTTTCCCTCTTTATCCAGATTTTCCAATTAATAATTCTATGATTAAAGTAGCACATTCCTGGCTTTGGACTTTCTCCCTTACAACCCACCGGGTGTGAATTTGTACCGTGAGATTGAGAACAATATTAATTAATTGTGAGCTGTGCTCCCCACTCCTCATCCTCTGTGAGCCTTTTATCAGGATGAAATGTCACACCACAGATGGGGACATTGGCAGTGGGTGCTGAATTTCAATCAAATCTCCACATTCTCCCTCCAGAGCCTTGGTTTTGAGTGCAGGCTGGGATTTCAGGCTCCCTGCACTCCCAGTTAATGCTTCCCTGGGCAGTTTCTCCCCGTTTTCAGCCTGTGCAGCTCCCAGCCAAGCAGCACAGATTGCCTGTGGCTGTGTTCCTTCCCCTGTTCTCAGGAAGGATGATGCTGCCCCTGCTCATCCCCTTCCCTGCCAAGAGCTCTGTCCCAGCAGGGTCAGATCCTCCTCAGGAGCTGCTGCTTCATCTCGTTGTGACTCAGAGGCTGCTGAGTCCAAATTTCTGTCCCCCTGTCCCCAAACCTCCTGTGCTGCTGCTGTTATCCCAGCTCAGCCTCTCCAGGAGCTGTTCCTGGGATTTTATTCCAGGCTCTGTGCAGGTGGTGCCAGGCTCTGCTCCCTCTGGGATTTCAGGGACCCTCTGAACTTCTCTGGGAACAAAGACATGATGAAAACCTTTTTTTTTTTTTTTCCTCTGAGCATCCTAAAGAGCAGAGCCTCAGCTCTCCTCAAGGTGCCCAAAAGAAAAATGCCAAGCTCAACATCTGAATGTGCCCTGTCCAGGGTCAGGAGAGGCAGAAATCTGAATAAAAGGCACAGCTTTTATTTTGTGGAGAGGATGAAGGGAACCCAAAAAACAAGGAACCATAATCGAGCAGATATTTATTTATTCTCTGATGGGTTTGGGGTTTTCTTTTACTCAGAGTAAAGCCAGGTCTCAGAAACTCCTCCGGAGATCATTCCTTAGAGAAATTCCCTGTAGATTGGGACATGACAGGAAGAATTCCACTGATCACTGAATTGATTTTGAGCACAGGAGGAGGCAACCAACCCATCAAAACACCTTTCTCTGTGTAAACCTTTTATTTCCATATCCCTGCAGTTTACATGAGGTTATTTCTGTTATTTTGTGCTTTCTTCTGGTCCTTCTGCAGATCTGAGTGTCTGAGACCCCCCCTGTCAATTATTTTATACATTGCCATCAAATTTGCTGTGCAGAGCGAACAAATAAGTTCAAACTTCTGAAGGTTGTGCCATCCCTTGGTTGCCCCTGGGCTTGTCTATTTTCTGCTCCAGAAGAGATGACACAGCCCATAAATCTCTGCCTTAGTCCCTGCTTTGGTAAATAAAATCTGCTCAGATTTATGTTTGCTCCTTCCTGAGGAAAAGCAAAGCAGTGATACATGTGGCAAATGGAACAGAAAATTGCTTTTCACCCATCAAGTTTCCAGTGTAACTGACTAAAGTTTGGGCTCTCCTACAGCAATAACTGGTCTCACAAAATAGACCAAATTTTGTAGCAAAATTCCTTGCGCTATGTTGAGGCAACCAAACACGTGCTTTGCCCAATAATTTAGCAAATGGCTTAAAACTGAGACTAAGTTTAGGTTGGATATTGGGGGGAATTCCTGGCTGGGAGGGTGGGCAGCCCTGGCACAGGATGGGGCTGCCCTGGATCCCTGGCAGTGCCCAAGCCAGGCTGGATGGGGCTGGGAGCACCTGGGACAGTGGAAGGTGTTTTGGGGTTGGAACTGGATGAGGTTTAAGGTCCCTTTGAACCCAACCCATTCTGGGATTTTGGGATTCTAAGGAATGAAGATAACACTGCTGCCTCAGAGAGGAAGTGAAGGAAACGTGTTTATTTTGGCAGAGGTTTATGTGTGCCACCAAGCCTCCAGAAACCCAGGCCTCCACTGCTCCCAGCTGCACAGGGACCCCTGGGTTTGGCCAGGAGAATGGGGCTGGTCCAGGGGCTAAACCCAACCCCTTGGAATCAGCCTGGCTGGGGAAGCTGCTTCTGAAAAACTATTTATGAACTCAGCATCCCACCCCTTTGCTGAGCCAGTTCTGAATTGTTCCCTTTTATCCTTTCCAGCTGTAATTCATGTTGCTTAATTAATCATAATTAAGTGTTTTGGGCATCTCTGGAGCTCAGTTCTCTCTTTATTTAATTACACTGACACACCATATAATGGTCTCTGTTTGATGGGATGTTTTGCACAAGAGTTTAATCCAGAAGCTGAAAGAATTAATTAGTTCTTAGAATGTCTCCAGAGGGTTGGCCAAGTAAACGGTGGGTTTGTCACAAATGCCTGGACTCTTCAGAGACCAGAAGCCATCCCAGATAGTGCATACCTTGAGCCAGAGACACATTTCCCCTTTGCTGGGGCTCTCAGATCCCTGTGGGATCTTCTGGAGCAGGAATGAGACTCACGGGAGAGAGGGAGATGTGGGATTTGTCAAGAGCTTACAGCCTGTTCCTGTTCCAAAAGCATCACCCCCTGTGCCCTGGCCCCTCTCTGCACACCCACGGCCTGAGCCAGCCCCCAGAAGGGATCAGCTGCCCATGGAATGGGAATTCCAGCAGGGAATCTCCCTGTTTGCCAGGGCTTTGTGGGAACAGGGCATTCCCTTCCCCAACACCTCCCGGGACCTTGGCACATCCACGCTGATTTCTTTGCCCAGCAAGGCCTGGAGCTGCTGGGCCTCCTCCTCTTCTCTGGCAGAAAAAGAAGCTGGAATGGAAAAATACAGAACATTGCAGGGAAACTCTGGGAGCAAGGACAAAGGGGAGCAAAGCAGGGACTGTCCTGTGAGCCTGGAGCACCCAGGGCTCCTGTTCTGCTTGACAGCTCCACTTGTGATGATTTTGTCCCAGGATCTTCTCTCTAGCTGTGATTCCTTCAGAAATTCAGCACAGGAGTTCCACAGCAACCACCCAAGGGTGGGCTGCTTCGGATGAGCACGTTGTCCCAAACTCGTTGTAAAAGCACAATTCTTCCCAAAGACAGACAAGCAGAGCCTGGCTGGTTTGCTCCCAACATTTCCATCAACTTTCTGCTCCTTCTTGGCCCGAGCAGGGAGGTCTGGATGCATCAGCAACGTCTGCAGGGATCTGTGGTGATTGTTGGAGACGCCGGTTCTGAGGGCAAACTTCCATCCATCCTTCAGGAACGGCCTTCATCCCGAGGGAGGGAGATTCCAGGAGGGCCAGGCCCTCCCAAGCACAGCTGGCAGTCCAGTGCTTATGGCAGAACCATTCCAAGAGCTATGACAATGACACTGTTGATAGCTCTGGAAATGGCGCTGCCATCGGCACCACGCGTCCCCCCTGCTCCTCCTCGTGCTCCAGGATGGAGGAGCAGCTTCGGCCCAGAAATCCCTGAAACCTTAGGGAAAAGTCCCAGTGAGGGTGTCTGGAGAAGCCTTCAGAGGTGCTGGCTGCAGTCTGCTGCTGCTGGGATGTGCCCTTGGGGCACAGAGCACACACTCACTCACACACACGTATGCTGTTGTACCCTGCATTTAACTGGAAAAAAAAAGGGAAAGCCTCCATCTCTTTCCTCATTCCCCCCATGGCAGCTTTTCTGTCCTTCCCTTTGGAGCCAAGCCAAAACTGCTGCCCAGCCCTGGAGTTCATTTTGCTGGAGAAAAGCACGTGGAAGTGGCAGTGCTGCACCTGCCCAGCAAACTGCCACACATCCAATTTTCAATTCACTCTGGAGCCACGCTGCTAAGGAAGCACTGATCATGCTTCCTGCCTGTTCCAGGCTGGCTGTTTCCAGTGGTTCTTTTCCTCAAAACTAAGGATTCATGCTTTGGAAAACTGGGCAACTCCTGGTTTCTGCTGCTGAAACCTCTTTCCAAGACATCTCTTGTCCCACCACAGCCATAAGTCCCAGCAGGGATCATCCTCACCACACCAAGGGGTTGTTAATGCAGGAAAAAAGACAAAAAGGAGTTTTCCTTCTCCTTCCAGGCACATCCTGCAGCCTCCAAGGACAGTTGTGGGGAAAGGTTTGAGTTACAGGCTGAAAGCACATTTTCTGATGCTTGAGGTGTTTGAATCAGCTGTGTTCCTACCACAGGCACTGACAACTCCTCCCTCAGCGCTTCTGAGCCTCAAAAAAACCCCAGCATGATCTCCAATAATTTTTCTGCAGCCTCACCGAGGATCTTATCAATAACAACTGTGACAAAATCAACTGGGGGACATAAGCAAGGACAAAGAGAGGAGCAGAAGGACAAGCAGCAGTTTCCTCACCCCAGTTCTGCCTCCAGACCAGGGAAAATCGGCCCAGAGCATGGAAGGAGCTGCCCAGGGCAGCTTTTTCAGTGCATTTTGATTTTTTTTGTCCTTGCTCCTTGTTCCTTTCTGAATCTGAGCTACTTTTGCTGCTGTCCTGATGTTGAGGAGCTGACTTTGACCAGGGAATTGTAAAATCCTACCACAACAGATGGGTAAAGTTTTGTAACTGCTTTGCATAGATATGATGGAAAAATCAAAAATTTTCCTCTCTTTGCTCAGCAGAAGCAGGGGAGAGGTGTTATGTCCAAGGGTCACAGGATTTGGCAGCAGCTCAGCTTGGACTGCTCCAGGAAGAGGCAACAACTCCCCGGAGAGCAGAGAGAGCAGCACACCCAGCAGATCACACCTGCAGCCTCTCTCCAGTGCAGCTTTTTGGGAAAATTGCAGCCAGGATGCATCACAATAAAGGGGTGGACACAGAGATGCTTCCAGAGGGGTGAGAGCAGACAGAAACACTGACAGAGGACATTTCACAGACACCCAGCACAAATAAGGAATAACAGCTGGGTCCAGCTGCAATTGAGACCTTTGAGTGCTCAGTGAAGCTTTAGATCCCAAATTGTGAGGAATCCTGAAGTGTCCCAGGCCAGGCTGGACAGGGCTGGGAATAACTGGGAGAGTGGAAGGTGCCCATGGCAGGGGGTGGAAGAGGTGAGCTGTAAAGGTCCCTTCCAACCTCAACCTTGCTGTGAATTGGTTTCCTGCAGGCTGGGAGGGATGGGGCAGCTCTCCCTCAGTGCTGGGTGCTCTGCAGAGCAGATTGCAGCCTGAGCTCAGCTCTGCCTCCCTGTGTGCCAGCCCTCCCAGGGAACCTGGCTGGGGAAATTCCAGAGGGAGGAACACAAACTGCCCTGGACTCTGCTGCTGTAAAGCAGGTGCTGAAATCTGCTGCCTCCCTGAAATCTGTGTGCCTAACGAGGAATAAACAAAAGCACTGAAGGGAAAAAGGAGAGGGAAGGCCCTGCCTGCCCCAGATCTGTTGGGATTATTGCAGGTTCAGTGGGAGCTGTGCAGTCTGCCCAGGGTTTGGGGCTGCAGGTGAAGGGATGGGGATGCTGCAGGTGAAGGGATGGGGATGCTGCAGGTGAAGAGATGGGGATGCTGCAGGTGAAGGGATGGGGATGCTGCAGGTGAAGGGATGGGGATGCTGCAGCTGCTGTGGGGTGTGGCACTGAAGGAGAGAGGCATTCCCTGTGTCCTGGCAGTCCCTGTGACTTGTCACCCCAGGTCCCAGGCAGGGAGGCTGTCCCTGTGACCACCAGGACTTTCTCAGCCCTGCTCCTTTCCCCTGCCCTCGTTACAAAACCCTTTTGAGCAGGATGACAATTCCACACTTGCTCCATGCTTCTGAAGCTGCATGTGTGAAGTGCCCTGGAGCATTCCCATGGTGGCAGGAACCCAGCAGGAACCTCTGAGGGAAGGGGAAGCCTCTGAGCTGTCAGTTTAACCAATTTTAAACAGGTCCAAGCTGGCCTTGGACACTGCCAGGGATCCAGGGCCTCCGACCCTAAGAGAATTTTTCCTAATATCCAAACCCACTCTCTGTACCCTGCTTTTCTCTGTGTGCTGCCCACCGAGGAGACCCTGCAGTGCTGTAGCCTGCTCCTTGGAGTGAAAACATCCATCCCAAATGGGAAATCCCTGTTAGCCACATTACCCTGCAGCCAGCAGCCCATCCCAATGCCCTGGCAGACCTCCCCATCCCCCTGGGGCTGCTGCCTCCACCCCACAAGTGCTAAGCCATAAATAAATAAAGGAGGGTTTACAGTGGGTTGCAATAAACACGAACAGACAGAGCTGCAGTAATAAAAGAAGGGACTTACAGAGCATGGCCATGGCTAGACAGGAGCTGGTCTGCTGCAGAAGAGCAGGAGGAGCTTGGAGACAGAGGAACAGCCACTTTTAGTGCAGGAAGGAGCAAAGACAGACACAGTGAGGGAGTTCAGGGGGGAAAAGGAAAAAACACAGCACTGGTTAATTGGGAAACAGCCCCACATCAAACACTGAGCAGTCAATGGCATCAGAGCTGCATCCCCAAACCTCCCACTGAAAGAAGCCTGACTTTTAGTGTCAGAACCATCTGAGCCATCAGCTGCAGTCCTTTTCTCCATAAACCATTTTGGGAATCATTCTGCTTTCCAAGAAAATCTCCCCATAGGGTTTTAGGCAGGAATCCTCTGCTGAGCCTGTTTTCCAAAAGCTCTTCAGCATTGCCCTGGAAGGGATTTGGGAGCTGGTTCTGCCTTCCTCCCTCATTCCATGAGTACCAACCCCCTCTCTGCTCTGACTGAGGATCCTCTCTGGAGGAAGCCACATCTGGCTTTAAACCAAAGTCCAGGGAGTTGTAACTTGGCCACTTCATTTGTCCCCATGATTTTAGCAGCCATGCTCACTGCTAAAAAATCTGATTTATGGAGGCAGTGCAGAGCTGCTGGAGATCCCTGGCTAATGGTCCTGGTGGTTCTGACAGCTCCAATGTGCTGGAAGTGCTGGCTTGGGTTTTTAGGTACAGATGGGAGAGCAATAGAGTTACCACTTCATCTTTACCAATGCTGGAACTAGGCCTGCCTGCAAGGATGAGCTTCAAAATCCCCCTCTGTGGGCTGCTGGTCTCTCACCAAAACCCTGAAGTGTAATAAGGGAATTCCAGGGGTTCCTAAAACAGCTGTAACCCCTCCTTCATCCTGCACTTTCCTCCTCAGCCAACAAGAGCCTGAAACAGTGCATGTGGAAAACAAAATTCTCCTATAAAACAGCACTCCTGGATTGGCAGAAATCAAATTTCAGGCATCTACAATTCCTCAAAGAGATTTTTTTATGGCATGAGAGGATAATGTAGAGCTGTCCCTTAATGCACAGCTGAGTCTGAGAGCTTGGAAGCCCTGTGTGTGCTGTGCCTGCAAACAGCAGTGCCCATCAGGGAGGAGAGGAGGGCAGGGAGCTCCAGGACAGCCCTGTGTGCCCAGGATTAATTCTGGGACAAGAAGAACTCCAAGGTGAGCAGACACAATTTTACAGCCAAATCTTCCCAGGCAAACACATGTGAAGCCAAGCATAGGGGGAAAGAGGGTTTTAAGGAAATTAATTTAGCTTGCAGCTTATTTTAAAGGATTTTATGGGCTTGTTTTAAAATTTATCAAGGACAAAGATCCTTTCAAAAACAGAGGAATTGGTTTGTCACTGAAGTGCATCATTCATTGCCCTGAGTTCTGTGAGCTGGTGTTTTATGGGGTTCTCTCATAGAATAGAATCACGGAATATCCTGAATTCTCACAGGATCATCCAGGCCAGATCCTGGCCCTGCACAGACCCCCAAAATCCCACCCTGGGCATCCCTGGGGCACTGTCCAAACCCTCCTGGAGCTCTGGCTCTGGAGCTTGGGGCCGTGCCCATTCCTGGGGATCTGGGCAGTGCCCAGCACCCTCTGGGGGAAGAACCTTTCCCAAAATCCACCCTGAGCTGCCCTGGCACAGCCCTTCCCTGGCTCCTGTCCCTGTCCCAGAGCAGAGATCAGTGCCTGGTTTGCCTCAATCCCACAGGGGCTGAACAGGGCTGTGCCCAAGGAAGGAGCTCCAGGGATGCCCAGGGGCTGCATCCCTGCCTGGGGAGGGACTGGGACCCTCCTGCAGGATAAAACATCCCTTCCCTGCTGGCACAGCTCTCTGAAGCTCTCCTGGCAGCACCTGTGGCAGTGCCAGTCACTGCTCATTGCTTCCCTGCCCGTGGAGCAGCTGCTCTGTGCAGTTCTTGTCTCCAGAGCTGGATCCAAGCGTTATGAAGTGCTTTCAGTGCTAATAAATACCAACTCTGCTGCTCTAAAAGCCTGTCACAAAAGCAGCACAGGGCATGAATCTCCCTGAATGCATTAATGTGCCTTTAATATATCAGTGGAAACTGGGACTGCTCCCGTGTGCTGACAGATCAATCAGTGATAAAGTTACTCATAGATAACATTAATGTGAGGCACGACCAGTTTCTTGATTTTTTCTTGAGTTTGCCTGTTTGGCTCT